ATAGATTCAATGTTTGTAATGGCTCAGCCATTCCCAGTCCTTTTTCAATCCTGAGTTGATTGCATCTAGTTTGCATATCAATTCCAGCTCAGCAGTCTCTCGTTGGAGTCTGTTTTTGAAGTTTTTCTGTTGTAATATAGCCACCCGCAGGTCTGTCATTGAATGACCAGACAGGTTAAAGTGTTCTCCCACTGGTTTTTGAGTATTATGATTCCTGATGTCAGATTTGTGTCCATTAATTCTTTTGCGTAGAGACTGTCCGGTATGGCCAATGTACATATATATCTCCTCAATATTTATTCCACTCTATATGCATCCGAAGAAGTGGGCTGTAGTCCACGAAAGCTTATGCTCTAATAAATTTGTTAGTCTCTAAGGTGCCACAACTACTCCTGTTCTTTTTGCGGATATAGACTAACACGGCTGCTACTCTGAAACCACCTTAGAGATGGTAGAAACTACCAAAATGAAGGTTGTCACAACATGATAGCGCTCCAGCCAGGTTATAACATGCTTTGGTTTTGCTTGTGTAGATGGAACCAAAAAGTGGTGTAATCATTATAAGGAATGTGGTGTATGATTCACATTGCCCTCATCCCTTTCACTCCATTAATGTTCCCAGCTTCATTTCCCTGCTTGTCAGCTCCTTTTACAATCACCAAATCTGTGCCTTCTTCCATATAACTCCCTACACATGGTACCATCCCATAGCTCATTGCCAGACTGCTAGCTGCTTCAGCCAGGCTGCTTACAGGGAGTTGATACAACTTGTATATAAGTTACCTGTTATTGTTCCCCTTCCCTTAAACTTTGGCTCCTTGTTTGTCCTCAGATGGCAAGCTCCTCCGAGTCCTGGATGTTTGGAAAGTGCATCACATATCATGGGGGCTATTATAAATAAATGTTTTTAAAAGTCCCAGTCTAATGGTTTGAGCCCGTAAACACTTACACACATGGATAACTTCACCTAGATATAATGCAGGGGAAACCATGCAACCAAAAACTGGGGCCCATGTTATAAGAGGCCAGTGCCCCAGTGATGTTATAACAATGTTTTTATGACTGTGTAGGTAGGACTAAGCCATGTACAGCCACATTGCAGAATCAAGTTACAATGCTGTAATGACTAGGTCCCTTACTGGCTGCCTGCATCAGAAGCTACACGCACAGTTTAGACATGTACTCTTTGGAAGATTTGGTCCAGTTTTGTGAACCCCAAATTTGCGTTTAAATGCAATTATTAAGCTCTGCCATTTGACAGCCATTTCCCCCTGACTAAATTCCAAGTACATACTTCTAAAGTAGAGGCAAAACTGTAGTTCAACTCTTTTTTCAGATAAAGTCCTTGTGGTTAAGACACTGCCTGGGACTGAGGAGATCTGCATTCTAGTCCCAGCTCTGTCACAGTCTGACTGTGACATCTTGGGCAAATCACTTAATTTCTCTACCTCAGTTCCTCTTCCTCCGGTGCCTCTGTAAAATGGGGATAATACTTATTTTCTCCCATCTGTCTTATCTATTTAGACTATAAGCTCTCTGGAGACGGGGCTGTCTCTTACTTTGTATACAAATTGTGCCTACAAGAATGTGGTCCTGGTCTTGGTTGGTTCTTTCAGATGTCACTGAAATACATATAAATAGCCATTTGACTACATCACTTTCTTTAGAAATTCAGGCGAGTAATTAACTTTCTGCCCTGAGTTTGTAGCATTGCTGTGCTTTGCTGCCTCCCATCCTAGTAGCGACTCACTCCAGGGATGGGTGAAATGATCCCTATGTGTGTGTATGTCTACAGATATCGATAGATATAGTTTTTAAAGTGTTTCAAGGCTGTTGACATCTTTGGAAGAAAGGTGCTACCGTCTATAAATGTCAATCACCATCATCCTCATCAGCTGCATCCAGCTGTGCCTGCAGAGAGGCAGATTATTCTTGCTCTCAGGTGGGGAGCAGGGTGGAATTACTTTACCTAGTACTACAGTTCTTTATACCCAAGATCTCTCTGTTTCTAAGGCTATGTACACACTACAGCTTAAATAGGTATAAGTTATGTCATTCAGGAATGAGAATATGCCACCGCCGAGTGACATAAGTTACACGGACCTAAGCGCTGGTGTGGACAGCGCTATGTCCTCCCACCGACATAGCTAATGTCACTGGGGGGGGCTGGAGTAATTAAGTCGACGGAAGAGCTCTCTCCCATTGGCTCAGAGCATCTGCACTAGCAGCGCTGCAGCTGCGCCGCTGTAAATTCTGTAGTGGAGCCATAGCCTAAGATTGTGACTTTTCAGAGTGTCTCTGTCTCTCTCCTCAGGTGAGCTGTCCCAACTAGCGCACAACTTGGTTTTAGAAGGAACTGAACCTGACAGTCAACAAAGAAAGCCTATAATGTTTTCAGAGCAGAGCCTCGCACACACTTCCCATAATCTGAGTTGTAGGCTTGGGGAATAGCTTGCGATATTACCCACACGAGACATGTGTTAGACATTGCCAGTATTTTCTGCTTCTTCTAGCTGAGAGGCAGATTTCCCTGGCCCCAAAGTTGCTCCTCATATCTCCTTGGAAAGATCAGTCACAATCCCAGAGTGCTGAATCTGTGCACCTCCAGGAACACAGATCTCCCCACAAGGAGTGAAGAGGAAGCACAACCATGATCTATTCACCCTCTCTCTGCCCAATGTGCACCCTCTCGGCAGACAGAGTGGGTCGCAGGCACTTTACCACTACAGAAAAATCACAAGAATAAATTCTTGATGAGATTAAGAGCTTCTAGCCCAGATCTACTATTCTCACCCTTCAGAGCATTTTGCATGTCTCCTCACTGTTTGCCAACATTTCTATTATTTTACTTTTTGAACACAGGATGAAAAAAGTCAAAGTGTATGATGGATGCATGCTCAGATCCCATCGCATCAGGTATGTTCAAAGACACCTCCAGACTGTACAGAGATGAGCTAAGCAGAGAAGCAAACCCTAATCCAGGAATGCATTTGCACACATGCTTTAGTCCTCCTTTATTCAGGAAAACACTAGTAATGGGATGTAAGTGCTTTTCTGAATCAGGGCCATCGATGGGATGCATAAGCAAACCTCAGTACTAGCGCTATGTCACCACATCCCCTTGCAATCAGGTATTATTCAGTTGCTCTGCTGCAGTCCTACCTGTGTCTTGTTAATTGATTACACAGAAGCTGCCAAGTTAGATGATTCCTTTGTACCTTACTTGAACTGACAATGGGTTAACAATAGGCACCTCACCAAATCTCCAAACAAAACTCTCACCTTTTTTGGAGGCCTGAAAACAGTTTGCTGTTCATGTGCCACCAATTTCCAGCCAGTTGATCTCATGATAATTCCACACTGACTGGAAGTCAGAAGACACGTCAAGCTCAAAAGAAAGCTCTCTCTTTTGAGAGATTTCCAACCTAAATTTGTAGATCAAAGACATTTATAGAAGCTTTGGATATTCGTCCATATTGTTGAGAGATTTGCAGATTGGAGATTTAATGAAGCTATAAACCTTTCAGGGTGCACATCCATCCCTCGATTTAAAAGGTATGTGACACCCTGGCACCCCCATATTCACCACTGTCAGATAATTATGATATGTTTTGTACAAAGTATGCCTTGTGAGGTATCATTCTACAAGTCTTGATCTGCTAGACATTAATATCTCATTGGATTGTATGTGCTATCATTGTATGTGAAGTTATGAAGTTTGGCTATGTATGTGCTACTGAAACATGTTGTGAGGTTGAGAACACCCCAAGCAGCCTTTCAGGTACAACAGTAAAAAGGCCAAACAATGTTAATGGCTTACTGAGGAAATACACACAAGCATAAGGATTACCCCAGAAACTGTGTACAATAGAAACCTCTCAGAGATAGCACCACACAATGGGAACTGTTTGATCCAGGTCACAGCAAAAGAACTTTCCAGCAAGTAGGAAATGACATAATGACTGGACCTTACTCTCCCTACAACAACACACCTAAAGTACTGGAGGAAAAAGACTGAAGGGGGGTGGGGGTGCTGGTCCCAGGCAGGAAAGAAGAAAGCCTGTCTGTGTATGTAAAAGCTAACCTGCTTGTACTATATAAGTGGGTGAGATACTGCTTGGTTCAAATACTAATTAGTCGATTAGGCTTAGATTGCAGTTTTGTTTTATTTCTTATTGTAATCTACTTTGATCTGTTTGCTACCACTTATAATCACTTAAAAATCTTTCTGTAGTTAAATCAATTTTATACTTTACCTAAAACACTGTGTGTTGTTTGAAGTACAAAGTGGATAAATCTCAGCTCACGAACAAGAATTGGTTTACATCTTCTTTCCTTTGTAGAAGTGGTGGACTGGGTAATAAATTCATACAGGTTAGGTCTTGACCAGGGCAGAACGGTACAGCTCTGGGGTCTTAGGCTGGGGAGCTGGTGAACACAGCTGAGGGTAGTCCTTGCCTGTGGATGTTGCTGTGAGTGCAAGCTTGTAGGGCTTTTCAGCTTGTTACAACCTCACAGTGCAAGAGGGATCCCAGATTGGTGAAACGGAGGGCTCAGCTGTACCTCAGTTCCAGGTGGCACCCTTGGAGGGGGGACCTGTCACAAGCTGTTTCATTTACATGCTAAATAAAGACAATGATAAAAGTTGCACAAGCAATGCAAGACAACTACCTTTGGTGGGGATTCAGCAGGCCACTGTACTCCTGCCTGTGTTGTTATTAATACTGAGCATACTGACACTGTAATACCATGCTAAAGGAGGAAGTAAAAGTTTAAAGGACAGTCAACCCTGAATTTTCCCAGCACTAGTATAATTGCAGAAACATCTGTGCTACATAACTGTGCTTATTCAGTATAAAAATTCAGCTCATTTGCTTCCCAAACACCTTATTTCTTATCTGCTATGGGGTGGTCTAGTGATCCCTTGGGTTACGTTACAAACCTAGGGACGTTGGTTCAAATCTTCCTATGGGGTGTTTTCCCCTCCACAGCCTACTGATTATGAGAGTTGGCCATGTGATATGGGGCTCTGTTTTTCCTTCTATTAAAAGAAAACTGCAGTGATTACATATAATCCCTTAGGTATCTGGAGAAATACTTAATAAAAGGCTTGATTCTGTTCTCACACCAGTTTTACTCTGGTGTAACTCCATTTAAGTGGGCTGTAGCTCACGAAAGCTTATGCTTTAATACATTTGTTAGTCTCTAAGGTACCACAAGTACTCCTGTTCTTTTTATCAAAGTGAATGGTACTCCTGATTTACAATGGTGTCAATGAGAGGAGAACCAGGCCCCAAATAAGGATACCTATTACATATTAAATGAATGTCCAATCTACTTTTAAAACTTTCTGCTGCTGTTTCAGCACCTCCATTCAGTGCATGGTGCCAGTGACTCCTTTACTAGGGATTGGCAGCTTGCTGGTACATTAGAGACAACCTCCCACTAGGAAGCAGATTGAGGCAAAGATGATCTGATCTCTTTTACACCTGAGTTAGTGAGTCAACACTGGTGGAACTGAGAGAAGGATCAGGCCCAGGCAATATAGCTCACCATTTGAAAAGAAGGGAGAAGCTCATTCTCCAAGTGACTGGCTGACCAATTCTATTTATTTTTAAAACAGGGGTTTGACCCCTGTTGAATTAACTCATTTACTTAAAATGGAAAACTTATTTTCATTCATTTAAAAGAGTTTAGTTAGCAGCTTTTGAGAGTATAGACTTCCCCCAGGCACCCCAGTGGTGAGCTGCATTTCCCAGTGTCTCAATCGTGGATCCAGAAGAGGACAGCTCCCTGCTAGGCTAGTTAAATACTGGGAAAAGGCAGAAGAAGAAGGAAAAAAGGCAGTAGCTTTATCAATGAATAATGAGAAACATTTGTCAATTAGCACATTCAATAAGTAAGAATCAAACAGCTCTTGTGGTTGCGTTTCTTATTATATTCAGGGTGTTCAGGTACAGCAGCAATGGGGGCTTAGACCCACACGGTTAAGAGCGACCCGTATTTTCAGATGACTGTTTTGGGGGGCTCAACTTCAGATATGTTAAAGGGAGCCTCATTTTCCAGAAAGTGCTGAGTACTCACCCTCCAAAAGCATGGCACCTTTATGGTGTGCCAGATTGGACACCCAAGCATTGAGCCACCCAAAATCTCTAGTCCCTTTTCAAGGGCTCTACCCTATATATGTATCTAGCTAAATAAAGAAGAGACCGTTTGTAATTTTAAGGTAATCAACTCTTCTAATCTCCTTTGTCATTAGATGGAGCAATCAGAAGGATTCCTTATTTTACTGCCATGTTCCTTTGACCAGATTTTTAAAAAACATGGAGAAACCATGGAAAGAAAGGAAATACAAGATAAAAGATCACCTCAGAAGTGAGTGTCTCCCACATTATAATTTTCTGCTTTTCAAACAAGCCACAGATGTACAGCACATGAGCCCAGGTGAAGATATGATTGTGAAATGGTGTGATGATGCCTCCGCATGCAAAATACATTAATCTCCGACATGCCCTTGAGCATCTGTTCTGTATTTAGGGTTTTTATTCCTTTGTACAGCTAGCTTTTGTGAGGTTTAAACTGGTGCTCCTCAAGTCCTCAAAGACCAAACTTTTAAGGGGAAATGTTAACAAGGGACTTGACAACAGCACAGCAAGCGTGATGACTGAGACGCACTCACCGTGGGTAAGAGTGGGATGAGATGGATATGAACTAGGTCACCGGCTTTTATGGAGGGCAGCCAAATATGCTTTTTCTCACAGCTTCTCATTGTAAGGAGAGTTTGGACTGATCCTTTTTACCCAGGCAAAACCCCCATTAAAGTCAACGAGGGCCTTTGCCTGAGCAAGGACTGCAGTATCCCAGCAATGCTGACAAGACAGTGTGCACTCTTACTCCTCAGTATTGAAGATCTGCTGCTGGATATACTGGAACCATTTGCATCAATGGACTGGTTCCACTGAGGACAGCAGGCTGGCCATCCATCTGTTATTGCAATGGCTCATGTCCAGGGGTTGAAGTAAGGAAGATGAAAAGTAGGGGAGACAAGATCCGCTATCCCTCTGTGCAGGAAGCAGTGGGGTGACCCTCTTTTCTCCCTGGCTTGGGGAAAGCAATGCTCCTCCTTCTCCTTGGCTGGTGCAGTGAGAGCTCTCCATCCTATTTCATTCTACTTTAACCACGGCTCATGTTGAGTCATGTTCTCAGGAATTTCAGCAATAATCACTGGGGATCAAATATATGCTTTTGTGCCACAGAATACCTGCTATATATACTTTAAAGCAGAGATGAGAGACATTTCCTTTTCAGGAAGGGGCCTTTTAATCTCTGCGCCAGCTCTCCTGGGTTCTGTCTGTGGCTGCCCATCAGTTCCTGCTACCTGCGTTTTCCTCTGTAGCTTACTGCACACACCAACCTCATTCATTGTCCCAGTTCCTGATCCACCAGTGCCCTGCCCTCCTTTTCCTGGTCACTCTGGCTAACACTTTTGCTCTGGTTCTCTGCCCCCTCCAGGGAGCCGCATGGTTCCACTGTAAAGCATAGATTTACTAAGAACAGATCATGACAAACTAGCTTGATTTTCTTCTCTGACAGGGCAACCAGTTTGGTGGATAGGGGGAATGTGGTGGATATAATACACCTGGACTTCAGCAAGATTTTTGACAAAGTCCCACATGACATTCGGATAAGTAGGCTGAAGAAGTGCAGGCTCAGTGGAACATAATGGATTAAACAACTGCAGTGGTTTGAGCATTGGTCTGCAAACAAAGAGTAATTAATGGAATCCTGTCAGATTGGAGGAAGGTCTCAAGTGGGTTCAACAGAGATCTGTTCTGGGTCTAGTGTTGTTTAACATCTTTATTAATGACCTGTAGGAATAGAGAGCATACGGATCAAATTTGCAGATGACACAAAGCTAGGTGGGGTTGCCAACACTTTAGAGGGTAGAGCTAAAATTCAAAGGGATCTTGATAAATTAGAGAACTGGGCTATAGACAAGAAAGTGAAATTCAACCAAGACAAATGTAAGGTGCTACACTTAGGGAAGAAAAACCAAATGCACAAATACAGAATGGGGAATAACTGGTTTGGCAGCAGCACTGCTGAGAAGGATCTGGGAGATGTGGTGGATCAGAATCTCAACATAAGTCAACAATGCAATGCTGTTTCAAAAAAAGCAAATGCAATTTTAGGTTGCATTAACAGAGGCATAGCATGCAAATCATAGGAAGTGATAGTACCACTCTAGTCGGCACTAGGTAGTCCTCAGCTGGAGTACTGTGTCCAATTTTGGTCATCAACGTAAAGAAAAGATGTAGCAAAACTGGAAAGGATCCAGAGGTGAGCGACAAAGATGATCAAAGGGATGGAATGCAAGTCATACGAACAAAGGCTGAAGGAAGTGGGTATGTTTAGTTTGGAAAAGAGGAGATTAAGGAGAGACATGACCACAGTCTTCAAATACTTGAAAGGCTACCATAAAAAAGATGGAAACACACAGGGCAGAACAAGAGGCAGTGGGTTCAAACTACAGCATAGCAGATTTAGACTAAATCTCAGTAAAAACTTCCTAACCCTAAGAACAGTCGAACAATGGAACAAACTGCTTAGGGAGGTTGTGGAAGGTCCTTCACTGGAGATTTTCAAAAGGAGGCTGTATAGCCATCTGTTTGGATGGTTTAGACACAACAAATCCTGCATCTTGGTGGGGGGGGGTAGACTACATGACCCTTGTGGTCCCTTCTAACCCTATGGTTCTATGATTCTATGAAGGGACACAACTCTCCATTCAGTCCACTGGGGTTCTGTATTACTGGGCTGCCCTGTGCTCTCTAAGGTCTCACCTCAGCCAAACCTAGGTCTCAGCACCACAGTCTGTTTTATCTGGGTACAAAGAGCATGTTCTCTGTCTTCAATATCAGCTACTTCATGTAGTTCATTGATAGAGTAAGATAAGCAAGATCTTTGACAGGCCATGGGTCTGGACTGACTTGGTGAGTTTCTTTCCCTTGACCAAGCACTCTTGAGTTGTGGTGCCACACAAGGACCCCAACATTTAGGTGCCTGGAATGATTGTTTCTTGTATAGACTCTGTTCCTTGGTCTCTCTCTTCATCATTGTTTTTTCTGGTGGTTGTGATTATAGATTGCATATGTGTTCAAATACTGGGCTCTACGCAGAGGTAATGGAGAAATTCCATGGCCTGTATTATACAGGTGGTCAGACTAGATGATCTAATAGTCACTTCTGGCTTTAAAAGCTATGACTCTATTAATTTCTATACATAAACTCCCTTTCCTTGGTTTCCCAACAAATCCTGTACACTCATAGATGCTGCACCCTTCTTGCCTTCAATCACATCAAATACTGTAGTAGAATTATTTTCTACATAGCTAAAGTATTTCCTTGGGTCTTCATAGTCAGTTCAGTATACAAATGCATCTCTCCTTTGTGGTGCAACCATATTCATATCCGACAGTGAACCATAAGGCCTTTGCCACAATGACGCACCTCTTCTGTACAGCAGCTGTTAATCCTAGGAAGCCAAAGTTCTGGTCTAACTCCTTTAAGTATCGGGGATTGCTTCATCCGGCCTTTTTAGTTGATGGGTGCAAAGTCTGGTTCCTGATGCCTGTTTTGGGGTTCATCATCATGGCCACTCTTTGGAAGTCCTGTGGGCTGCCATATGCTCAACATCCTGGGTCCAGTTGTCTCTGTGGTCTTTCTTACCACTGGAAGAAGCACTTAATGTAGTAATGCTTGTGTTTATGTATCCTAGCCAGTTATAGGGGCAGACAGCTCTAAATTAATCCTGACTGGCAAGGGATAAGGGAGAATGCTTACTATCACTCATAGCAGAAGAGAGTTTGAGTCAGGAAACAGAATAACAGAACAAGAAAAGAACGGTCCACTCCGATCAGGCTGGGAGTCCATTAGTCATGGTATCTACTTAAGCATTCAGGCAATTCTGCTATCATTATTCAAAATATCCTCCTCCTCCTCCTCTTCAACCCATAAACTTTTCTCAACACATTCAATTTTTGGGCATCCAATCAGTTTCTTATAAATTTGGGTGGTGCTTTATTTGCTGTTCTTGTTCACTTTATGTATTGAACTCTGGTACTTTTCAGCACTAGCCCAGGAAATGCGACAATTCAGTATGTAAGGGGGTAAGGAATCTTTAAAGTAAATCTTGAAGTTATTGTGGTTTAGGTCAAGAATGTGGGCTGGTTTAAAATTGTCCTAAAGCAAATAGGGAATGTCCTCTGGACTTTCAACAGCTGTTGAATATGTAAGCAATTTCAGATAAACCAAAATAATGCCACCATTGATGCATAGACTTCCAATCTTTTGCTCTGCTGCTGCTAAGGCGAATAGCCAGAAGAGGGAGCAAAAGGTAACCAAACGAAAAACCTATTTCCAAAATTTTGTTTCTATCCTTGACACTCTTTACAACAAGGAAGTAAACACTGTAAGAGTCTCATTGGGTATTGTTCCATAAGAAAAGGGGTTGGGAGGGACATAAGAGTTTTTCAGATAAAAAGAAACTGGATATGGCACAAATATTTAACAGCGTAAGACCTGGTCAGTTTTCACCTTGTAGCACCTGAGTGCAGTGTGGTCCGTGAACAAAGAAAATAAGTTTCCTGGAAAATAATACCATAGTAAGTTCATGACTCAATTGATCATCATTGCTTTCTTCTCCATGACAGAGTATACCTTTTCTCAGGAAAACAGCTTCCCATTTATATAAAGTTCTTCGCCCTCAATCTCCTGCAAAAGGCCTTTCCCTAAACCCACATCTGAGAAGTCCAGATTAAAAAGGACCAGCTCTCATCGTAACACTCCTGCAATGTCTTGGAGGCCTTATCACAGGCCTCCGATCACTGAGCCTTCCTTAGGCATCCATTTTCTTAGATCTGTGAGGCGGCCTGCAATAGTGGCAAAAAGCCCTGGACTTGTTTCTTCGTCATTGTCACTGGACAGTCTGTCGACACTTAGATCTAGTAGACTAGTGGCCACAGATGGCCTCCTTCCATGATATAGATCAAATAGGTCCCTTTGTTGTTCCCTATTTTGCATTTTGCCAGATAAGCCTTTAGGCTGGCGTCTGCAAGGCCCTGGAGCATTGCTGTGAGCTGCTTTATGTGGCTGTCCCAATCTTGACTCTGTGTCCTCAGTGATGCCACCAAACAACCGATAGTCAGCAAAAGAGCTTAAACAAAGGAAAGGTAAAGAAAAACGCATAAGCAGCTCCCTCCAGCATATGGGACTCCCTTACTTCAGAGGGTCCTGGGTGTATCAATGTCCACTTCAGAGCTCACTGGGCTCCAGTGCCAGCCTGTTTTTTCCCCCTTCAACTCAGGGGTTCAGCACCCTCCTTCTGTGAGGACAGAGAGTCTCCAGGCCATCAGTCCTTTCTCCCCAACTGGAGAAGCTCAGCCGTCTGATCCCTTCCCAAGGTTGCCCCCATCTGAGTGGGGTTCTCTCTTTTAAACTCCTCCTCCAGTCCTGCCGTGATTTGTAGCTGGAGTCGGGCAGTGCCACTCCAACTCAAAGCAGCTCATTAACCATTTCCATGCTAGTGTGGGGTTTATATACCCCATCATGCGTGCCCACGATGGATGTGTTCACTGTTGTAGAAGACATAGAGATTGCATGCTCCTTGAAGCAGGGACCAACAGACAGATTTAAAAAAAATTTTAAGATAAGAAAAAAGTGTGCAGAGTTTGAGCATAGAAGTTTCTGGTTATCAGGGAATAACGTACATATTATTGACGGTGCAAAGTTTGGTTTAAGATCGGGTGGCATAAGGAATACATAATCTGCAATATCCCCGATTGGGGGTAAAAGGTTGATGGGTCAAAGTACAGACATTGAGATATGAGGGTATGAAGTTCATAGAGTGGTTATGTTCGGGTGTGGGGTATAATGAGTGGATATGATGATGAGGAAGGATTGACCCTAATTTCGTGAGTTTTAATGTTCAGGGAGTTTATGGTTCCGGTTCATATGATCCAATGGAAAAGGTCACTTGGTCCCTTTCTCGTAGTGGGAGAACGATGTCACTCTGGCTCATGCCTCCTGGTACTGTCGGTGGCCGGTGATGTGCTCAATGTAGATGTCCCTGGACCATCGGATGGTGTCTGAGACCATAAGGCGCCGCATGAGCTGTGCGTAGCGTTGACCGATCCCGCAGGTCCTAAAGAGAAGACATGACACAAAGAGACTTAGATGACTGTGTGTGACCCTAACAGCATCCCTGTAACAGATGGCAAGGCCCCCCCCCAGGTATCTAGCAGTGATTTTCAAGTGGCCTGAGCAGCTCAGTGCTCCCTAACTCACTATTTCTATGATCTGTATCTAAAAAGTGTTGTGTAATACGTCATTGGAAACTAATGTTCATTGATCATTAATATTCTTGCCGTCAATCCACAAAGGATTATACAGATGTGCTGGAATTGTGACTAAAATGTGTTTAAACCAGGCATGTCTGGGGAAACTGATAAACATTTCTTTCTTCCAGACAAAGAAATGCGGTTCCGTCTGCTTGAAGTGTCTCCCATGTAAATTGAGCAAGGTGTGATCATGCAGGCCAGGCAAACAAAGCCATCAGGAGAACATGTGGGGAGAAAATGATCACTTAACATCTCAATGGGGGATGGAGACTGCACTCCCAGGAAGCCTTCCTGCCTCTTGAAACAGGGTCAATAAACTTTGAAGGAGATAATTTTCAATGGTTTTCTGGCCTATAAAGAGAGGGGCAGAGAACCCCTAAATTGTCCTTCACCCAAGGAGATAAGAAAAACCAGCACCTTTGACTCTCTGGGGATCCTGACTAAGAGCTCGTCAACCATTGCTGGAAAAGGAAGATTGGTGAGGAAACCACCTTGAACGAAGACTGTAGCTTGTTAAGTGAAGGCTTAGGTACTAGAAAGGTACTTTTGTTTGTTTGAAACCCTGTCTATCTTTATCCCTTATATTTGAACTCAAAACTCTCTCTTTATGATTGAATAAACTTGTTTTATTTTTTATCTAAACCAACCCAGTGTTTTGATTGAACAGAAGTGATTGTTAACTCCAGTCAAGATCACAAACAGCAGCTTGTTTCTTTTTAAAGGAGCAGCAAACTTAATTTCTGTGAGTGTTCCAGGAGAGGGCTGGACACTGCAGGGAGACAGTTTGGGGGAAATTCAGGACTGGGGTGTGTGTGTTGGGGTCACTCTGCAAACCTTAACTGGGCGGTGGAAGCTAGAGTGTGACCTGCATGCTTTTATACTGACTGTTCATGTCCGAGCTGTGAGCCACAGCAGCAGAGCATTTCAGTCACCCAGAGTTGCAGCGCAGGCAATGATGCAGCCCCTCACTGGTCCACCTTGAACCCCAAAACATCAAAGAGGGGTGGTTGAAATAGAGTTTATTTTTCCTTCCTCTCTCATCAGGCTGGGTAGGAGGAAGTCTGGTATGGATTAGTGTTTGTGAACCAGGCAGAAGTAGTGAGCATTTGGCAGGCCGATTTGGCCAGGAACTTACAGAGTGGCTTGTTACTCTAAACTTTTCACACACAATGAAGGAAAGCTAAGAAAGCCTCTGTAGAACTTTACAAGGTTTGTTGCCAAAATTTGCTTTCTGTAGCAGAAGGACAGGCAGGGCCACCAGGGCTGGCTGTCTAAACTAAGTGGAGAGTGATTCATGGTCCAAATGATTTCCACTATACTGACCTACTGCAGAAGCACAAAGAAAGGGTTAGTGAGAGTACACAGCCTTTGTACAAACGAGGAGCCAAAAAGCTAAGGTTTCAGTCTCCTTCTCCAACAACACTTCATAACTATAAGACTCTTTTATCTAGGGTCCAGAATATGAATTATTATCTTGTGATTCTGACAACCTTGATGTGTAACAGGAGGACAGAAACATGGATGGTTTCCAAGAATGTCACTGGGAGGGCAGGTAGAATTATATAAAATGAGAGTTAATGAGGAAAAGAATCAACATCTCCAGTTTGGCTGGCTTTGACGGTGAAATGTATAGATAACTACTATACTTTGAATCATCATCGTCAAAAACCGTGGGGCCTTAATTGGGGAACAAATAGACTTAAAGTCATTTAATCTGACTAGATGGTAGGCACCATTAAACTTACAAGTTTACAAATATATAAAATGTCTACAATGAAAATTCAAGGTTAAGAGCCTTAGCCTTAAATACTTTATTTAAACACATTTAACTTCAGTTTACTGCACAAGTCTGCTTGACTGCTTCAGCCTGCAGTCTCTATAGATGTCATAAAACTACTAGTCCAGACTCCATACTGATGTGGGATCAGAATTTCATCAAACTTGGAACTGGAGTGCCTCGGAAACAGACAGTGGGAATCACTTGCTGAGATTAGCAAAAAATGTTGCACAGTATTGTCCTGGCCTGGATTGACCTCACTGTTGCAAATGCCCAGCATCTCTGAAAATCAGGACACATAGGTGCCTAAATATGGATTTAAGTGCCCAACTTTCGATACCCAACTTTAAGAACGGGGGTCTTACTTGTTTCATTCCCTTTTGTTGCAATGCTGGGCTTGATGTCCATCTCGGTGAACAATAATATAATTTGCAAATTTTTCCCTTTCTTTGCTTAGTGACTTTTCTGGAAACCAACTCTGGTTTCTGCAAATGTGTTTGTTGTTTGAGTGTTGGCTAACTAGGTATCAAATGTTCCCTTCAACTGTTTGTTATTTGTTATGCATGTTGTGAGATATGAGATCACATTTCTGCTCCATGAGAGAAGGTGTCTAAACAGGAAAATAGCAAACATTTGTTACAATCATTCATGCTAAAATTCATGATGTTTTTAAATTCGTGAACATTTTCACAAATTCCCTGGCTGTCAGTCAAATATATGTGATTAATGAGTAAGGCCATCAAAAGAGGCAAACCCTCAGCACTTCTATTTGCAAGTCTTTTCTTTCACTGTTTAGCCAGTCTAATCTAAAGATATTTATACATGGAGAAGTTAAAGAGTTATGTTGCTTTGATGGTGTTCAAACGGCAGTTATGACCAGACATTTGTGTGTTAAATGCACGCAATTAGAGATCCCAATTATACCATCTCTGCTTGTTCCCCCTGGCCTCTCAATCTGAACCTTGACCTCTGATCTAGCAATACTCACAGTGCCTCTCAAAGCATCTCTGGGTAGGCCTTGCCCACTTTAGCCTCCACTCTTACCTTCAAACAACTGGGCTGAATTCTCAGGTGCATCGAAGCAGCACTCTGAACACAGGAAAAAAGAGCAAAGATGGCAAACCCTGAGGCCAACTGGGGTACAATAGTCCCCGACAAAATATAGAGTAGCAGGGCCTAGTTCAATGCCTATCAACGAAGTCTATTGATTATAATGGGCATTGGATCACACCCAAAGTAGTGCTGGCTTGTAGTGGTACCTTAGGTAAATATTGCTGTGCTACACCATTTCCAACTTTGTGTCTGTAGGACATTACAAACATTTTCTGTTTCTGAACTCTAGTCCCACACGTTCACTGGAGTTTTCTCTCGGGATGTAGACTGAGGTTCAAGGGCTTCATATCATGTTTTAATTAAAACCACAACTAGGAAGCTAAAGGAATGAGAGTTGTTAGTTGTGGTTTTGCTCCCAGTATTGTCATGTAGAGCTAATTTGTAATGAAGCTTGAAATAGGCAGCAACAAAGAAGAAGTCTGAATAGTTAATTAATGCATTTCCATGTTTTGGATAAAAGGTTAATGGAATGATATCTCTTGCAGAGTCTCGCTAACCACAAATTGCCTTGCCACAAGATAAAGGTATCACTTAAACATGAAAAAGACAGAAGACAAGCATTTTCTACTCTTATACTGTGATAGTCGAGGAAAAAAATTGTCTTCAGCTTGAAGATGGTCAGTGATGTACAACTTAGGAAAACTGACTAGATAATCAGATGGCATCATAGATGTTAGAGACTGACAGGCCTATGAATTTCAAATTATGGAGCACATAACTGTCCACAAGCAGAGTTGTGAAGAACTGTTTATGATTAAACTCAAAAGCCACCTCCTTGCCCTCTTCTCTAAAGGGTGTCTGTTAATCCACCACACTCATCTGCCATAGTCATGGGGATTTGAAAGGAAGCCCACAGCCTCCCTTCTCATTCTTCAGAGTGGTAGAGATCAGTAGGCAAGCTCCCATTCCACAGCATCAGGGCAAGAAAAATTGTTCCCATGATTATCACCATGCCACGGAGCCTTACCTTGGTCTCAGCATCCTTTATTTCTCACTTGTGCCATCTGGGAGAAGTAGGCTGTTTTGGAGTTCAGAGAGTGGTGGTCCCCCCCCGGACACAAACATATACAGCACTCCATAAAGGTTGGGAAGTAGAATACATTTGCCTCATCTTCCTATGATCGAGATATATTAGGCCATGGAACAGTCCATGGGAAGTGGCAGAAGCTAGACTGGACTACACACTTATAAATATATTGCAGATAATATACTGGTAGATAGAAGGATGATCTAATAGGTCTTTTCCCTCTCTATCTTCTATTAATTTAGTGGTGATAAATAAGAAGGAAGAGGTGGAAATATTCCCTATATGAGGAAGAAAACTGTGTCAAATGCACACAAAAATCCATTTTTTGGATGGGGGTGGGGAGTTGGAATAGTATGGGCATGATGTTACAATCATCACCAAAGAAAAAGCGCAGGAGGGAGTTACAAAATACATTAACAATATGCATGATTACACTATGGAGAGAACATTTACAGACATGATGAAATCATGCACTCTCTGCTTTATTACAGCTTGAGATACTTTAATGGTACATAAAAAAAATTCACACTCTGTGTTTCTGTTTTACCACCAAACCAAAGCAGGAGTGGCTGAGGTTTGAATAGTTTTCCTTCTCCTCATAAAAGGCAATCACAACAGCCACATGGTAATTATTTCAGTTTCTGAAGAAAGCCTGCATTGCAATTTTTGTGCCTTCTGAATTTTTTGCTTCATAGTACATTACGCCTTCCCTTTCATAGACCACTGGATGGAGAATGTTCAGCTGTTGGCTAGAGCTGGGAGATGAAACTAGGAAATCCAATCTGACAGGCACACTTTTATGTGTGTACTAATTCTCCAAGCTTAAAAGGCTGAGAGAGAATTAATTTAGGTGTAGTGAACAAGAGGCAATCACTAATGGGTGAGCATGAGAGGTTTCTTATAGGAGCTTTGGAAACCTGGTATTTTGTACAGAGAGAGATCTCCACACTAATCCATCAGCTGGACTTGAGACAGAACTAATTACATTGAAAAGTTTTTCCAAAAATTTTTTTGTTTAACATCCTAATGGAGGAGAACAATGGATGGCTAAGGAATTTGTAATGGGGTTATAGAGCTTTTCACCGCTAGATCACCAGTTCAAATCCTACTTGTCATTAGTGTACTAAAATTGATCTATGAGACATGACCATAAAACTAAGTTCCCTCCCTGGATAAGAATAAGGGTACGTCTATACCCAGCTGCTAGTTCGGCGGCTGGCAATCGAACTTCTGGGTTCGACTTATCGCGTCTTGTCTGGACGCGATAAGTCGAACCCGGAAGTGCTCGCCGTAGACTGCGGTACTCCAGCTCGGCGAGAGGAGTACCGCGGAGTCGACGGGGGAGCCTGCCTGCTGCGTGTGGACCGAGGTAAGTTCGAACTAAGGTACTTCGAACTTCAGCTACGTTATTCACGTAGCTGAAGTTGCGTACCTTAGTTCAATTTGGGGGTTTAGTGTAGACCAAGCCTAAGAGGTAGGGAAGAGGAGTCAGGATCCTGATGATGGAGTCAGCTTTAGAGTGAATACACAAAAAGGCAAGTCGTTCAATGCTTAAAGTGAGCAGGAAAAAGCAGGGGGTCTATTATTCCTCCAGTCTTCACATCTGCTCTATTCTCCCAGAACCCCATCAATTCTGTCCCCTTTAGGCCACCATCAATTATACCCTCCATATTAATTCTGCCTTCCCAATCCCATCTCATCTCCTCCTGTAGCTCCTG